GAAAAGCAACTTCTTCATCCAGGCTACGACACCTTAGAGTATTTACTTCTTTCGTGTCCTTTTGTTATTTCTCTATGCATGTATGTTATTACACTGTATACATTGTCAAATGGAGGTGAAGGGAATGTTCGTAAATGCTTCTATAGCGGCGCATACATTTGCATTAATGAACCACATCTTCTAGGCTTTAGATGCCCTTGAGCGTTACCACGTCAGCTTCGAAATGCGAACTTCACTGATTATCCATCTCCTTTTATTTTGTCAATTTCTTTAAAGTAAGGCCCCAGAAGCTGACTAAATTGTCGTACACATAACTGGACCGTGTAGAGGACATTTTCGCTGGCGTTAATTGCACAATCATCCTCCGACTCGCCAAATTTTTCATAAAGGCGATGAACCATTAGAATAGGTATCCGGTTCAAACCCCTTAGAGGAGAGGACTTCCCAAGGCTCCGAAACACCAGTACATTATCTGTACTTCTGTTTACTGCCTTTATCCAGTTCTATAATTAATAAGTGCACTAAATACAATTCACTGAACTTTCATCCCTCTTTTGTCAAGTTACATACAGTGGACCCCACACCCCGGTATAGTTTAATATAGGATGATGAACACTGATTTTTCGTAACAGACATTGGTAGAGCACCGATGCGCTATGACGTCACCATTATGATGCTTTTAGTAGACTAGTTATTGGGTTAGCTGGGTGCGCTATCGTAGCGGTCGTTCTCGGCAGATTGGTCTCGGCGGGGGGTGTAGACAGTTTGCCGACATCGCGCCTTCAGTTCTAGTTTCCTGGCGACCACTGGCGTTTACTTGTCACACCCTGTATAGGGCTAAGATTTCACAGCGGTTGGCGCTTTAACCAAGCTAGACGTTGCTGGATTCGATAGTGGATTCGATCCCCACGCGATAGGTATGTGTATGATACTTATCACACCATACTGGTAGGGCCACGCAAACAACAGTCTTGGCTGTTGAACGGATGGGCAGGTCCGCACCGGAGAGTACCATGACCTCACGGAAGACCGGCGTGAAGTGGAAGCGTTATACTTCAGCGTTTGCAAAAAGTGGTAATGGTGGCATTCCTACGGAAGTTGCATAAGTCAATTGGCGGCGGTTATTACTTAACATCAGGTGAACCACAAGCTCGCTTGCCGCCTGCTCAAATACTTAAAAAAATGACTTGTCTATGTACAACTTATCCATGCAAAACTTTCCTACAATACAGTACAATCTATCCTAGATAACATCAAAAAGGGTAATTTAAAAAAAAATATTACTATTATAAGTACACCTTTGTGTTGTAATGTGCTATTGACGGCGCCTGGACGTAACGCGTCGATATAAACTAATCGGCCAATGCGAAGGTCAATTGATCGAAACATGTTTAGTGGCGCCAAGTTGTTCAAAAATTTCTCTGTAACTGATATCAGTTAAGTATCTTCAATTGAAGAATGACTTGTCAACTTCTTAATAGTTTCCAACATTCAAGTGCTTATTGAAATCGATAGATATTACTTTGTAGTGGCTGGATAGAAATTCATATCGCTGCCACTTATAAGCAAAAAGTGATGATAGCAACTATTGTTCATAACCTTTTAAACGGATGAACGTAGTAGTTCAACACGCACTCTGTGGTTGCCTTTTTAATTTGACAATTCATGTACGTTTTCAATTAATTATTATCTATTAAGGTATATAATTATCTTAAGCAGCACCTTCTGTTGCACGATTGGGCAGGCACGCGGAAGTAATACCGTCGAAGAACCTTTTTTCTCACCCTGCCCGACATGTCGTTTCGTGCCAAGCCCGTGGAATGGCTGCTCCAAGACATCTGCGTTCAATGAAGCTGAAACCGAAAACATCGTTCAACAAATAAATGAAGACATGGCACGTGATGTGCCGTAAAACAGCAGCAAATTCGGGGCAGTGATTTTGGCACTGAAGATATGCAGAAAATCCGCCCACTCTTTATTTTGCACGCCACTGCTACAGGGAGCTACGACGAGTCTGATGTCTTATAAGCTATTATAAGGATCATTTCAAAATTAAATCAAAATCAAATATATATTTATTCAAATAGACGCTTGCGCGCTCTTATGAATCGTCAAATTTTACATCAAAGATTATGTATATAGGTTCGTAAGGTACCACCGGAAAGCTGTTTCTGTTGAGAAGAGACCGGCAAGAAACTTTTATGTCTGTCACTATTCTTTAGATATCTAATAATTAAGGTTATGGTGTATATATAAAACATTACAATAAATGTATTGAGAAGCAACAGTGAGTATATTAACCTCTTTGAAAAGATCTCTGAGTGAATTCCGGGCTCCGATATTGTAGATTGTAGATTGATTTACGACGGGTTCCAAAGTTCTAATCTATCTGTCGAATTGTTACTGGAGAATTTTTACTTAAGTATTATGAAGCTTATGTCAAAGACCTATCGTTAGTAACCGAATCTGCTTATATAATATTGAAACCGGTCGTTAGACACATAGTTATCCGCCTTCCTTCTCTTCGCAATCGCAAGCCATTTGACCACTTATATATAATGCAAAGATCGCGCTCTTGCGTGGTAAAGACCTGAGCAATTCTCGAAACGTAACTTATGCCAATTTACGTACTACGTGCGCAGCACGTGCACCAATTTGACCTCGATAGCATAGTACGCGTTTGAAAAATTACACCTATAGTTATGTAAGGTGTAGTACGTCGTATGTTACACACGCGCTGTACTAAGACCTCTACATATTCATTTATTTATACTTAATTGTTACGATAAAGGCTACAATGGGCAGACTTAATGCTTAATGGCATTCTCTAACAGTCAACCCTTGTCATGGTGAAAAATAGATGTCAGGTGCTAAACCGAAGAGTAAATATAAGAAATAAATAAATTTCCTTTGAAGTGAATATTGTTCTTATGGTTAAAATACGGATTAATTTCCCCACGGTTTGTTCAACTTCCCATTTTTAATCTTTATTTCTTGTTGTAGTTAAGTTTCCCTAATATTGTAGTACTCGGCAAATGATCATTTTAAATTGCAATCGGAAAGTTTGTTTTTGCAGCGTCAATGTTTAACACTTTGCTAAGGACTTGAGTGTTTGACACAAAAGCGGTAGCTCAATGAAGCCTGGCAACTGTGGAAATTATTGTAAAAAAATGAACAAAACCGACAAAGTGCAAGTCGGCCTCGCGCACGAAGGGTTCCGTACCATTATCTACAAAAACGGCAAAAAAAATCATGTCTGTTGTATGGCAGCCCCACTTAAATATTTTCTTATTCTCTTTTTAGTATTTGTTGTTATAGCGACAACAGAAATACACCATCAGGGAAAATTTAAACTGACTAGCTATCACGGTTCTTGAGATACAGCCTGGTGACAGACGGACAGACGGACAGTGGAGTCTTAGTAATAGGGTCCCGATTTACCCTTTAGGTACGGAACCCTAAAACGAACTATGTAGATGTTGCTTTTTATTATTTCTCCTGCTACGTTTTTTACTGCCTAATGGCAACCCTTCTTGGAAAAGCACCCAGATCCAGATTTTAACCTGGAATCGAACCCACAACCCCCGACGCTGCAGCCATAGGTTAGCGACTACGCCACCGCTGTAAATTTTGTCAGGATAGAATTTAAAACTTTGTTTATCAAGTATATCACAGATTTGTTACGACCGACTTTTTTGTGCGTAAGGAACCGGTATGATTTTGCAAATCCGTTATGGGTTATGATTTTCATTAGCGCTTGACGCAAAAATAAATTTTAATATAAACGATTTCGACCTTATGAGATTTTGTAGTGTGAGGGAAAAAACGGAAAATCAAAAGCGATTGAAGCGTCTACATGTGGCGTTCGATTTTGCGTACCGAAGCTAACGGACCGGCCAAGATCGATAAACAGACCGTAACCAGAATTATGACTTGGAACCTCGCGCTTGTCTTATATGCTTGTTCGAACCGTTTTCATAAGATAAGCTTTTTGTTGCCAATGTAAATCGAACCTATCAAATAATTTATCCTCATTGTTCCATTTTTTAATTTGCCTTCATTTTTGTTTTGTCATTCAATTTTCATTAGTATTAGAAGCATCCATTTAACACAAATATATTATTAAACCTTATTACAAATTTTACTAACACGCAAATAGTGTTTTCATTTTGTTCCCTTATCGAACATTCCTGATCATGTTCAAAATCAATTCCAACCTCAATTTCTTAATGAAGAAATTCGAAATATCGCATTAAACTCTATCAATAGAATTTTATGGATTTTCTCTTACTTCTTTTTCCAGTAACAAATTATGGACACACGTTTTTAGCAACTCTACTGAACGGAACCAATTAAACTGTCGACGTAAAGACTATTTAATTTGTTGTGAACTGAGGTTAAAAATCATAATTGTGTAACGGAGAACATAATTATTAATGATTAAATGTAGAAAAAACAAAATACTGTGCCGCAAAACCTGCCTAAAATTCGTCTTAATTTTTATTTTGGTTAAATTAAGATACCCTTTTTTAGTATGAAATACGACTGTAAATAAGTGTTTTATTACTTTTAACAACGAAATCGGGATTTCAAGCACCCCAGTCTGTCCCGTGACCGTGAACATAGCAAAGTGTGGATTTAAATTTAAAATCAGACGTGATAACATCCATAAAAAATAGTTCGATTTTAAAATATGTTTTACTCCCTACACACAACATAATATCAGTTATGGTTATTGCGTTGAAAAACATTTAATGTTTCATTTAAGTTATTCTTTAAATGTGACTAAGTTGTCATGTTTAAAGAATAACTTAAATGAAACTATGAGATTGTGAGAAGCAATATTATGAGATTGGGGAAATAAACATGGGATGTTTATTAGGCATTTTCTCAAGTGACAATCAGTCTGTAGAGATTCCTAATAGAAAAGCTTGAAAATTATAAACTAAGAATGAATTGTTTGTTCAAATAAGTGTAATTGTATACAAAGAAACTACGCAATGCAATCACTATTTATGGTACAAGGCCGTAAGGAGTTGAGTTATATTATTATTTAAAGATATTAAATCACTATTTTGCCGTGACAGGTGGATTTCGAAAGCTTCCGTCGTTCGCAGATATGTAGCGCGCACAATCTGCGGCGTGTGCAGTTGGCACAACGAAGTGGGTCTTATAATCACAGGACCACACGTCCGTATTGCGCTGGTGACAAACGCTTTATGAATGGAAGTCTATCGGACCTGTTCTAGAGCCGGCGGGGGGTGGAGGTGCGGAGGGGGTTGCCATGTGCCGCAACGGGATAAATAAAAGTGGTCAAGTGGCTTGCGAGTCACATGACTGCGCGTCCCTCGCCCCGCACGCCTCCGTACCCCCCTCGTGGACTCCCCTCCCCCCGTTCTTATTCCCCCTGCGTCTCCCATCGACGCACGCGCAGGATGCGTCAAGAAACGTCACCAAGCCACTTGCGAACTTCGCCCCGCCTCAGGACACTTTCTAGCGCGTGTCCGATTCGAAATCGATACACTTTATAATTAAAACATAAAAACGACCAAATAAGGATCGAGTTTTGTTGTGTTTTCGATTTCAACAAACATAGGAAAAAGGTTACGGCGACGAGGAAAAGTGCGAAAGAAAATATGCCTCTCAAGAGCGTTTAAATGTAGTGGTCCGAGGTTAGGACAAGTTCGGCTATTTTGGTAATCGTTGGACTTTAGGAAGTAGAAATTTTTTCCTTTACGTTAGTAGAATGCAATGTTCGGTAGTAAATAAAGACTATGAAGAAACACATAGACTCAACGGAGAGCTAGAATTCATCATTACTTGTAAAACATGCATTGAACGAACAAATACACCTAGAATCTAGAGTAACTTTAACACTTTTTTTTACTTCATATTCGAATAACCGGTTGTTACTGCTGACATACTATCACGGCATAAATACCAGACTAAGTTTATAGACCTTATATATTTAAATCTCCATCGGCACGAAGAGCATCTTCGCATTATTTATCTCTTTCTTTAAGTTTAGATGCAGCTGAAAAAAAGGAATCAGATATACATGAGCCAAGATCCGATAAACAAGCACGTGATATTATGAAGATAGCTTTGCACTCGCTACTTACATACAAGTTTTACTTCCATATTTTAAACCACTTCAACAATAGAAAACAGAAAATTTTATTTACAACAAAAAGCACTGTTAAAATTAACTTACAAATAATATATACAAAAGTTTCCTTTAGTATACTTTGCTGATACTTTTAAAGTAAAAATGTAATAATCTGTTGTCTCCTTACTAGGCAAGCCTGTATCGAGGGGAAACAAATTGATTTTCCGAGATTTTAACATATACATTTTTCATTAAGCAGACACTGTTTTTTACAACATATTATAGAAAACTTAAATACCCGGTAACCATTTGTAATAAAATGACACAATCATCAGACAAAATAGGACTTGAGATTAGTCATTAGCATCTATCACTGGAAAGATCGTTATAAAAACATATCGAATCTAATTCGAAACCGCAAAAAATAGCCACTGCTTTTCAGCAATTACTTTTTGTCATAGTTTTTTGTTCACGTAAGAGACAACCGTATGTATACAATGTAATGCATTCTTGTTAAACATAATTAATTTCGAGTGTCGGAAACCAATCTGTTCAATGCACAGGTTTCGTAACAGATTTTATAATATACAAATACTGTTTGTGTAATAACTACGCCGTTGTTCGATGAGAAAAGCTAACTATTCTGTGGTAAATAAAAATTTGGTGATTCTTGAAGTTAAAAAGAATTTCGTGACCGATGCACTCATGAATGCTCGCGTGCGTCGCTCAACAGAGGACAAAGTATATAATAAATATTAAAAATAACTCTCTAAAGATCTACAAGTCTTTATGACATCACATTTAAAATGTTAATAGATTAGAAAATGTCTAAACTGTCTAAGCAAAAAGTTAAAAATCACCTAGCAATAAGAAAACGCAGCTACCGTCTTACGCACAACTAGGTTCATTACATTAACTATTCCTTTATTCTTCCATTTGATTCCTTGGAAACGATCTAATAAACGTTTAATGCAAATAAATTCAATTCTTACGGAGTAACAATTATAATTCATACAGCACTGTGGGTTAGTCTGTTGGCAGGTGGGTGTGGCCTATGTCCAGTTGTGGACTAAAAGTGGCCGAATTGGTGACGTATCATCTCTGGGCTCAACCTAACTAGACCATTTCGTTGCGGCATAGTGATACATTCTCTCACGTGGTAGATTTTTTGTTGACGTTCAATAAGAGCTTAACTTAAGCCTATATTGAATAAATATACTTTGACTTTGACTTTGACTCAATCGCCCGCTTTCTGAAACACTGATGAACAGAATGATCTTCTTAATTATCAGAATCAATCAGGATTCTGATCATTGAGAAGATCATTCTGAGCAGTTCAGAGAGTTTAACCATATTTTTACTAAATAACATTTGAAAAGCCATTTGACAGCTGATTAGTTGACTTCTAAGATGATCAGTGTTTTAGAAACCGGGCGAAAGTGTTGTGTACTCATCTAAAGAAAGCTTCGTTGCTTCTAAAAGTACATGCGCTCCACAGGGGAAACGTACCGGTTCAAGATTCTGTTTAGTCTCCGCGGGCAGGTGACATTAACTTGATTACTCGAACCGGTCTTCGTTCAGATTTTCAATTATCACCACCCCCTCACCCCCTCCCTTTTATCCTTACGTTATAACGGATTCCACTTATAGATGAAATTTTCTCCTAAAATCTTTCACATCAAAACTTACAGATTGAAAAGGGCACACAGAAAAAGTCATCATCCACATTCAAGTCAGGCACCATCACGAGATAACCGTGGATTTTTTAAATAAATTATGGCTTAGCTAACATACGACTATTCCACTCAGAGATGATAGTTTGATTAGTGCAAAATAAATAAGCTCGGTTACGTCGTTACACATGGTATCACACATTGCGTGGACAAACCACCATATGACGTTAGCATCGAAAAGTCCTATAAGTTAATCCGTAGTTATCCATATCTCTACTGGCCTTGGAATGAACTACGTCGCACTTCTTACGCATATAATGAAGGTAGACTAACGATACTTTTATGTTGCATCGGTGATTCCCCTACAGCTTTGGAATTCATAACTAAACATTCATTCAAAAAGTAACACTAAAATAACACAACATTAAAATTACACAGACACCTATTGCTGATCTATGAAATCAAAGAAATAAATATATAATTTTATTTATTTCTTACTATTATTTTCCTGTTAATAAGTGATAATAGATCTAACTCAGTAAAAGCAAATTTACGCCTTCCTTAAATAACATTCGCACTGTGTTTTTTATTATTTATGATGACGAAGTTTAGAAGGGTTTTTACATATTTATCAAGGCTAGAAGGAATTTACCGGCCGGTGTGACCGCGCTGAATAAAAATGAACCAAACGAAATATATGTTGAAGTCACGAGATTTCCTGTTATGAATCATAATATAACTAAATTGATTTAAGTACAATAGTGATATGATAAGCCAGTTGTTGAAATTAATTATTAAGCTAATCCTCGATACAATAAATACATTATTTAGGATGAAGGTAGATAATTATGGAACGAACTGATTATTATATTCCTAATTTATTAAATAGTTTTCTTAATACACAACTTTATTTTATAATTTAAAAAATAATTACTTTATTTAAACTTTTATCATAAATTGTGGTCAATCTGGTAAACATAACCAACAAGTAAATCTCTGCGACTCTGACGGTAGGAAACTTACTGACTATTATTACGAAATAGTTGCTTTGTCATCATATATTCACTATGAAAATTTATTTAGATCTCTCCATAAGGAAGTTAATACATACTAAAACGTAAATGATGCAAACAAAAGCGTGTTTAAATGAAACTACACTATTTGTAACAGTTACATAAAGTACGTTGGAAAATACGATGCACAGTTGAAATAATTCTATTTCTATTTCCCCAAACTGCATTTCTCTCGAGGACATGATAAAATCGTTCGTTTCAATTACATGAATTATTGAAGAAATTTTGCAATCAATTTAAGGCGAAATTAAACGCCGTGATTATTTGAATACCTATAACAGCTTTATCTGTCGACAAAGTATGCATATTGGTATCGAGTGGATGACGCAACGCTTCATAAGGACTATGGAGCTTCGAGAATTATTTTTTGAATAGGCCAGTTCCTTATTAGGGTTCCGTACCCAAAAAGGGAAAACGGGACGCTATTACTAAGACTCCGCTGTCTGTCTGTCCATCTGTCACCAGTCTGTATTTCATGAACTGTTTTAGGTAGACAGTTGAAATTTTCACATATGATGTATTTCTTTTGGCGCTATAGCAAAAAATAATAAAATTTCAAAAAATAATTTTGCAGATGTGAATTAAATTTATGATATATTTATCTCAGCTTTCCATTCATCATCATCATTTCAGTCTGTTGTACGCTAAATATAGCCCGTAATCTCTCCGTTGATACAATGACTAAGCCTGGCTTCAGTATTAACCATCATTGAATCGAATCTCAACAAGATGTACGTATCTGTTTAACCTACATAGGATTGCCTCGTAACCAGGTGTCCAACGTAGAAGAAAAATAAAAATTTATTATTTTTACACAAATTTATTATGTTCACACATTAACTTGTAGAGCACCAACAACATAGGATGCAATTCCAAGTTGCTTGATAATTTACGTTTAGTTAAAATTTTGTAAATTACAGCAAATTAACCGTAACTGCAAGAAATTATGCTCCAATTTCTTCATCATCATCATCATCGTCAATCCGTATCAGCCCACTGCTGGGCATAGGCCTCTTCCCTCTTGCGCCATTCCTTCCTGTTGAGCGGATCGTATCCATGTTTTTCCTGCGATCGCTTTGATATCGTCGACCCATCGGGCAGGTGGTTATTTATACCAATTTCTTAAGTGATTATAATGTTAAGGATTCGTAAGAGAAACATTGTGTACTCATAAATATCATCGCTCAATACGAAGTACTTGGGTCGAATGGAATTTCAAGGAAAATAACAACAATTAACAATTATATACTATGGCATTATTAATAAAGCGGTTTTGAGAAAAGACGCTCTAAATCAGTTGTTTTGTTTTCAACTTTGGTAACCTTCGCGTGGAAAAAAATTGTAATTGTAAAACTATTAAATAATTGTATTTAAACTCTTTAGATTTATAAACGAGGTTTCTGCGACTGAATCATACTGGTTTTTTTTAAAAATTCTGTTTAGTAATTAAAATGAAGGCTGATAATTTAAAATTGAGAACACTTTTCCTCGGCGTAAGAAGCTTAACTTGTAACGACCTAATAATACCAAAAAAATAACCTATTATTGACATTAAAGATCAGAATTGTCTAGTTCTTTATTTCAGTGGCCATTCTCAAAGTAAAATGCCCATAAAATATAAACATTATTAGTTAAAATC